CAATGGACTCCCCAGGCTGATGGTGGAGCCAAAGTTGCTCAGCTGCGCTTGGCCAGCAAGGCAAGGGGGAAAGCCCTGCACAGGCACCAGCCGCGTTTGCCCCGTGCTGTGCTGCAGCTTGTCCTGGCTTTGGTACCACATCTTCTGCTCTGGGCAGCACAGTGCTGTAGGAGCCAGGCAGAGGTACACTGACCCCAGCCCCAGGGCCCAGGCAGCACCATCCCTCGCTGTCCCATTCCCTGCTCTGAAATGCCATTGCCCTTGCTCCAGCACAACTGTGAAGTGCTCAGGCCACCACCACGGTTGACTCAGCAGCTGCTGTGCTGCAGATGATGCCGAGTGCAGCTCCTCCACACTTGTCCCGTTAATTTTAGCTCAACTGCAGCAGAGAGACACTGCAAACACAAACTTCTCTGCTCCTGGGCATGCAGGGAACAGCAGGGGTCAGACAGGACACGCACCCTGCAGGGCTGACTTCAGTTCCTCTGCGAGCCCCCTACAACCAAGCTGCACCCCCCCCACTCCTCATCAGTGCATTTTGGGAGCACACTGCCCCTACCCTCCCAGCAAAGGGCCCCCAGCAGCACTCCAGGCCCTCAGCAGCAGCTTTGGCCCCAGTCCTGCATCCCCGCTGCACTGATGTGAAACCAGGACCTGTCCTCCACTGCTCCAAATGTAACAGCAACGCCTTTTGCCAAAGTGCTGCTCTGAATCAGTTCGTTCTTCAGTCCTGGGTGCAGGCAGCCATCAAGCAGCAGCTTCACTGTCCCGTAACCTTAGGGTATTTATGTAGATGCACACACATTAATAGCAGAACTTGAACTTATGAATAGCGGTAATTTAAAGCTTGAAATAACCCAGCTCTCGTGACAGGGAAGTAACAGTCCAGGGCTATTTTCATTTCACATTTTTTTATTATTAGACAGATGCGCAGAAAAGACAAAATATAACTACTGAAGGGAAAGACAACACAAAAAATGCATCGGTTGTTAATTCCTTCTGGTAAATTATAATGAAGAAAAAAAAGGAGGAAAACATCTGGGAGTTCAGCTAAGAAAACTACTAAGAAATCTAGTGTACCCTGCTGGTTTCAGAATGGTTGAAAACTGCATTTGAAGGGGCGTGTAGTTGCAAGTGTAAACGCTAACACTGGCTGAGACAGGAGAAGAGGGTTAAGAAAAAAAAAAAAGAATACACAGAGAAGGTAAACAACATTTTCTGCAATCTCTTAAATAGTTTAAAAAAAAAAAAAAACCAAAACAACAGAACAAAACCAAAACCTCATACTGTCATACTTCAGTTGTATCTCAAAGAAAGGAAACCAGCAAGTCAACAAGCAATGACACTGCATGGGACAGTGGGGAAGAGAAATTTAACTGGTTAACATCATAGGGAGCTCTCAAAATAGGTTGCTTTTATTTTTTTATTTGTCTTTAAAAAAGGGTAACAGAAGAGTCATGGTAACGCATCTTACAACACCAAGCTTGAAAATACAAGTCACTGGAGAGTATACAGTGAAAACGGTCAGAAGGACAAGGGAAATCCTGAAAGATGCAGTATCCTCGTTTCAAACCAAGTCAACAGCACAGCCATACCCTGCTCCTTCACCCCCCAGCAGCCCCCAAAAACTGGACCTTGGTGTCCCCATCCCACCTCTGCAGCCCAGGGGCCCATTTGCCAACCCCAGCGCTGCCCTCACGGGGCTGAGCAAAGGAGGGGGGTGCCCACACCAACACCAGAGGGGAGCCCCACTGCCAGCTCCAAAAAGCATGGGAGAGGGTCCTCGCTGGCAGGAGGAGCTGAAGGAGGCCCTGTGGGACAGTGCAGGAGGGGTCCTGCAGAACAGGCAGGAGAGCAGGGCAGGGGGCGCAGGCACCCCCAGCACACGCTGGGCCAGAGAAGCAGGGGCTGTCCCCACTGCAGTAGGTTCCAGCCAAGCAACATTTTGGAAACACAGCTGCCTTGCCTCTTCAAACAGCCCCAGCAGCCTCCCACAGGGCTGCCTACCCCTCCTCTCCCTCCAGGCACCCCTCTGCTCACCCTGGGATGCCGCTGTAATGCGGAACCACCTTCACTCCCACCAAAGCACCCCCTGGGGGGCAGCAGCTGGTGGCGTACCATGGAAAACCCTGAGATAGACCAAGAGGGGGCATAAACCAAGGCCCAAGCTGTTACCAGGGTCACTGTACCTGCGGGAAGGGTGGTCTCAGCACCTCAGATCTGCTCCTGGATGGGCAGGGCTGGCTGCTGACCAGGGAAAGGGGAACAACATCCAAACAAAAGCAGCACACTGCAACGAGTGGGGGTGCTGAGGGACAGAGGAAGAGGCTTCTGCAGAGAGGAGCGTGCAGGATCCCCCCCTGTCTGCACAGGAGGACCCTAAGCCCTGCCAAGAGCTCCTAATGCAACATGCAGGAGGCTGAGCTCAGTGCACGGGCTGCAACATGCCCCTGAAGCCTGTCAAACCACTCTCTTCCAGTCTAAAAGCACTGCGTACCCCTTCCCTACAGGGCTGCACACACTCACCTGTGCCCCTAACAGACACTATCCCCTTTGCCCCATGCCACAGCAGGCACGGGGACAGCCTGGCCACCCCAGGCAGGCACCAAAGGCAGCTTCAACCCCTGCCAACCACGCAGAGCTGCATTCAACAACATGTAACCTACACAGCAACAGAACAAACAGCGCTGGACTGGGGCTGCAGGAAGCCGGGGCTGCTGGTGGGCACTGGGGCAGGAGGCTGCTGCTCCCCCCCACCATTGCCAAAAATCAAGTTTGAATGGGATGATCGGGGGGGTGCTGGGCAGCAGGACACACATCTGCTCCCCCCTCTCTGGAGGGGGTGGCGGATGGCAGCAGCATGGCCAAACTGAACATGTTCAACTTGTTCAACCCCAGCCTAGCCGGAAAAAATACCATAAAAATAAATAGCAACCCAGGGCTCAGTCGTAGAGACGTGAAGTGTTAAGTGTTTATTTCAGGGATCGTATCACAAGCCTTTTTCAGAGACAAAGTATGATTGCACCCTCTGGGGCTCCAGGGGCCAGCCATTTGCTATCTTGAGCGGGCTGAAAAGGAATACTGTACCTTTCAGTGACATCCCATCAAGCTCAACACACAGTAGCTTTACACTCTCCACCCCCCACCTTATAAAGGGAAAGCCACCACCACAAGGCTAAACGAATGTACACACGCTAGTATTGTAAATGGAGCAGCTAAACCTTGGCAATTTGCTTTGTGTGGATTTTTTTGTTTCTTCCCAATAAATGCAGCACTTGAGCTCCCAAAAACCCAGCTTCCAGTGGGTCTGTTCCAGCTTTAAATACATTAAACATCTCAATGCAAGACTGTATTTAACTCATGAATCTAAACGCGAGCAAACCTGTTTCACTGTGAGCGTTTTGTAGAGAAGTGAAAAGGGGAGTTTCTTTTTTAAAAAGAAATGATACAGTGATGAAAGGGTAAAGAATGCAAGAATTCAGACATTCTGTGGAGGGTCTCTAAGAGGTCCATAAAAAAGGAGCAAACAGATCCATACAACAGGAGACAGCAGGAGACAAAGTTTTTTTGATCCCCCCCCCACCACTTTTTTGCTGGACTGCTGCTAGGTTACCGCTGCTCCCTTCTGGCCTGAGTCGGCAGGGCAGTACAGGGGCTGAGAGGGAGCAGGTCACGACTCCTCGTTGCCAGAATCGTCGTCATCGTAACAGTCGGCATCCTCCTCCTCCTCATCTTCGTCATCAATGTCGTCGTCATACAAGTCGTCGTAAAGCAAATCCGAACTGTTGTCGTTGGAAGGCACTTTAGTTTTGATGCAGTACTCTGCCAGCGTGGTGGGGACCTTCACGCCATCCTTCTCTGCCTCGGCTTTGGTAGCCAAAACCTGTTTCCTGTGGGGAGGAGGACACAGACATGAGCTGGTGGCAGCCTGGGCAAGCCCCACTGCCCAGCCAGCGTCATCCCCGCAGCCCAGGGCCAGCAGAGCCCACGTTTGGGTGAAGTGGGTTTATCTCCCACAGCACCAGGCTCGGGAGCACTGCAAGGGTGTCTGCAGCACATGTGCTCCCAAGCAACACACAGCATCAGTCCCTGTGCAGCGCTCCATCCGCATGAGACCTGCCAGCGCCTGGAGATCTCACTGCATCTGCTCCAAAAAGGGATGGTCAGGGATTTCCTCAGATGACACCAGCCCAGCAGGCTCAGAACCGCGATTCCTGCAGCGTCTGGCAGCTCTGAGCTCGCACTGGAGGGTACGGGAGCACATGGAGGGTACGGGAGCACACGGCTGCACCCCGAGATGCAGGCAGTGCAGAAGTCAAGTGACCGCCGTTGCCCCAGGACCGGCCCTGGCTGCTGTCCCCTGGCAGGGTCAGGAGCAGTGGCAGGGTGTGAGCTGTCCCCTTGCCCTGGTCTGGCCTTAGGCAAGCGACAGTGGTCCCACTGACCCTGGCTCAAGTTTGAATCATCTCCCTACAGCACCTGATGAACCTCTCAGCAAAGGACAGTCAAGACTGAACAGTACTTCCAGGGAATCAAACCCAGCTTGGGGAATGCTTCACCAAAGCCCACTGATATTCCCTCAAATTTGGAGGGACGCGATTATGATTCATGAGCGCATTAAGCACAGAATTAGTAGGATGCAGTCAGTTTGAATCACATCCCAAGCCACGCAGGCAGCGCTCAAAGGCAAGCGGGGACTTGGACTGGGATTTACTCGCAGCCAATAGGTTCTGCAGAGCACTGTGCCAGATCAGTCCGAATAAACAACAATTCAAAACAGAGCAGTCCCAGAAGTTTGCGCTGCTTCTGTGCGCTGAAAGACCTGGACCAAAAGCATGGACTTGGAATGAGACAGCAGAACTCATTTCCAAAGAAGCAACCACAGCAAGAAGCTGGTTTCAGCAAGCAGCCCGTTAGCACAGCGTGACACATGGCAAAGCTTACCTTATGATTTCTGCGTACTCCTTGTCTTTTCCTTTACTGTCCCTCCATTTCCTGAACATGACTGACGCATCCACATTGGCAGGAGAGAACGTGTTGGGCTCATTAAGCAAAGAGATTACACTCAGTAAGATAGTCCTGGAAAAGGCAACCACAACAGCACAGTCAGAGCTAACGCATTCACAGATGCTGGATGCTGGATGCCCATCGCTTCTTCACATGATGCATCAGAAACTTGTTTACAGTCAAAAATTAAGCAAGGATAATAGTTAAAGTGGAAACAGACACGAGCTTCAGACCCTGGCCATTGGTGCAGGGAAGGTGACACAACACAAGTCTCAAGGACCTCATCTGACCACTGACAATCATGTCTGTGTACATGCCTGTAAAGGGGTGGCAGCAAAAGCTCTGGTCAGACCCAAATTCAGCTTGTCTGCACTGCCCATGGATGGCACAGGGCTGGAAACCCATGTGGTGAGCCTGTTCCTGGTGGTATTTGGCCTCCCAAAAGCCAGGCTCTCCACCTGCCCCCTGTAGGGAAGAGGACCACCATGACCAATCAGATGAGGCTGCACTGAGGGTAGAGCTCTGGCCAGGTCTCCCCTCAGCCCATGCACAGCAAGGGGAAGAGTGCAGATGTTTTTTTGGTACAAGCTTCTGGTACTCAGCAAATCCACCTGAGCCAGGCACAGCCCCCAGCAGACAGAAAACCTTCTCAGATTTCCTGCAGCAGCACCAAGCTGCTGGCAGCACTGCTCTGCTTCATTTACCAGGGGCAAACACCACCTCCCTCCCTCACCGAGACCCTTCTCCTGCATCTCCTACAACCCTTCGCTCCTCACACGGTGCCACAACTGGTGTAAAACTCAACAATAAATCCCACCAGGCAGCTCTGCGCACCCAGCAAGTTTCACCTGTCCAAGGTGGTCCTACGTCCTCTGGGTGTAAATGCAAGGGAAGAACAAGGGACAAGAAATAAGCCCTCAAGTACAGCAGTCCATGGCAACTGCTTTGCAGAACTTGATTAAAGGGGACTACAGCCCCAGCTCTACTTGCAGTGATTTAGAGGCACATTTGGAGCAGCATGGGCCGAGGACATCCAGGATACGATTCCAGGAAATGCTTGGTCATATGGATGCTCTGCTTCTTGAAAGGTTTTTAAACTAAATCTTGTGTCTGGCCAGGCTGCTGAGCACATCTATCATGAGAGCCTTCTACAGTTTGTGTTCCAGATGATATAATTCAGGAAGATGTACTGGGTTTTCTGTGAGGGGTTTT